AGAGGCAATCGGCACTCTCTGTCCCTTCCTTTGGCAGCGGGAGCTCAGCTGCTGAGAGCCGAAAAGCAAGATCAAAGCATTGCAATCTGATATTTCTGCTCTGAGGTTTCCTTATAAAAGTCCAAAGTACCCGGGTATTCAGGTTTGGGATAGCAGTTGTTGTAGGGAACTCCGTATTCTGGGAATTATATGACTTTCCCTTAAAGTTGGGGGGGTCGGACTGTACGGTTGTAGCGTCACCTTCAACAGTTGAAGAAAGTCAAGCATCAGAGGTTCAGGTAGTCTGTGGTTTAGGGTTGATTTCAGCTTACTTCTACACAGTGGCGATAACCTTTAAGAGGGTTACTACAAGGGGTCTATAGCAAGGGTACTATAACGAAGGGCCTTCATGGTTAGAATGTGGTTTTGGCGCCCTTTATGCTGTAATTACCTAGAAGCTCCATAGTAGTTCCTCTTGGGGTTCATATATAGAATCCTATAAGGTAACCCCAAAAAAGAATTACCATGGCGCCTATGGGTAGAATAACCAGCACTCGGCCCAACGTTGCTCAAGCTTTTCGATTTTAGCTCCTGGGAAGGACGGCCAAGGTCCATCCGCCGAACCGCTAATCAACATCGACGCCTGCACATTTAGACCATATAGGTTTCTTTAAAGCTTCTGCACCATACTCATATAAGGGACCCCTCAGGGATAGCGCCCCTATAACACTCGTAAACCGTAAATTCACGGTTTCGGCACAAACCCTACTTCGCTTCGTCCGTCTAGAGATCCACAGCCTCAGGCATTAGCCCCCCAACTTCCAGAATGCTTCAAAATGTCCCCGCTGCGGCGCAGGGCTGATGGTTCAGGGTGTAGGTTTCAACGTTCAGCATTCCGGGTGTAGGGTCTGTGGTGCAGGGTTTAGGGTGCCTTCGGGTTTCAGGGTTTACAGGGCCCAATAACGGCCGGGTTCAAGCTCGAAATCACGTGTCCACAAGGACAATTGGGTTCGGGGCGTCGGGCTCATCGGAACCGGAGGCTACCTATAGTTTCCATTGTAGTTCCTTTTTTGGTTTAACCAAATATATAATTAGGATCCTATAAGGTAACCCCAAAACGGAACTACAATGGAGACTATAGGTACTTATAACATGTTGCCACAACTCGACGTACACTGGAATCACAACCTCGGCGATGATACTGTCTGGACCCAGACCTTGTAGCTACTGCACAGCTTTCCCTGGCACCCGCATTCTTGCGCCTAGGAGGGCGGCAGCAGTGGGACAGTCCTCTGACGAGCAAATCACAAGGATGCAACCCCAACGGACAACGCGCTCGACAAACCGCTCGATTTGCCCCCCATGGTTCGAAGGGAATTCGAGGTTTAGGGGTTTAAGATGAAGTTTGTTAAGTTTTTCTATGGGATTTAGGAGTCTCGGGTGTAGGATCAAGGGATTTGGGGCTTTGCAACTTCGCGGTTTAGGTTTTGCGAGTTAGCGTTCAAGGCTTACGGGGTACAAAATAGGAAAATCATTTAGAGCTTGGTAGTAGGGTTTTACATTACAGATGTTAGGGTTAAGGGCTTAAGGGCTGTAGGGGTTTAGGGCTCAGGGTTGAGTTTTTCGGCAGCTAAGATTTTGGGACCGGTAAACGGCTTGGCATAAAACAGCCTGGGCTGAATCCGAACGGTACAAGGGTTACACAAGTAATCCGAACATGCTGTCACCGTAAGGGTCAAGTTAGGCCCTCGTTTAGGGTGTAACAGCAAGAAGTCACTCAGAGACGACCGACTACTTCGTCTGCTTTTGCTGCGGCTGCTCGTTGAGAATTGAGATCGGTGTATGGTTGTGTACGGGTTGAAGAAGCAGAAACATGCAACATCCCCACACCAGGTATGCTAGAGGCTTCGCTGAAAGAACCTGGATACCCGTAAACTAGGCGGTTCTATGCGAATTTCTATTGGAGGATCTTTGTTGCCGGGTTTTCATGGAGAAGGTTTCTGTGTCCGTACACTTGGAGGCCCTTTTGACTTAGTAAGTCTACTTAGTATCCCCTAGAAACCCCATTATAATCCCCATAACCCACCTTACTAACCCTACTTACTAAGTCAAACGGGCCTCCAAGCATAGATTAGCTATACTTCGAGGCCTCACAAGGTGGGGATAAGGCAGGTAAGATTAGGGATCTCTTCAGGGCTCTTGGTTTGGGATTATACCCCACCCACCTTCCTCCCCCCTTGGAGCCCTTTGCTATACTTACTACCCCCATGAGCCACAGAACTGAAAGTTTAAACTGTCCGATTCCTACTAAACTACAAGAGTCCAAAAAGCTAAAAGGTTAGGTATTGGGGATCTGAGTACCTATAGACCCCAAAAGTATCTAGAATAATGGCCTTTTCTAGGTGTTGGGCCATTATTCTTTGCCTACTTTTGGGGATGTAAGTATACAGGGCTTCGGCCCAAATTGCGCCTGCTGCTGGCATACCAGCCGATGAGCCTTCCAATCTTCACCTTTGCGATGATCGCGTGACACAACCCAGAGCCCTCAAAAACCCCAAATCCTACCTGGACCCTAAAAACCCTAGCTCTTCAGTGTTCCTTATTGTGGTGTCCTTATGTATAAGTCCTGAAAAAGATAGGTTATTTAGCGTCAAGGGAACCATAATCTACTCGAAGCCGCGTTGGCAGGGCACTCCTGCAGCCTATTGATGCTACAAGTGCTTGGGAAAGCCAAGACATTGTCTTTGCAAGTTCGCGGGCTTGAGCTTTCGGGTCTGGGGAGTAGGGATATGCAATGCTATGCAGATGTTGCGTTCTTCGGGATTAAGGCTTTTATGGGCTTCCGGGAATCAGGGCTTACGTCGGTTAGCTTTAAAGTATTATTAATTAAGGAGCCTTGCGATCAAACAAACAAGGCTATGAACAAGAGCCTGGAGAACAAGGAAGTACAAGCTCCAAACCCCACAGTCAGACCCAAACGACGCCTGGATTTTGCGCGCTCTAAAGGCATCAAAGTCGGAGTCGTCTGTTAGAGCTCCCTTCTCCTGACTCGCACTGCCTCCTGCTGTACCAAGGCCACGGAGGATTCGCTGCCATCGCCGTGGTTATGGACTACTTTGAACCTGGGCCCCCGGGCTTCAGAAGTTTAGGGCGTTTTGGGGCTTGCGATTTGGAGTGCAGGCTTTATGTCGATTAGGATATAGGGGTCTGCAGTTGAGGGTTTACGGCTTGGGATTTGAGGTTTAGGGGTGTACTAGGCAGGGTAAGAACAACGAATTCCAAAGGAAGCCACAGAGCCGGTCCACGTGAGGGAATGGCACGTCCTGGTTCGCGGGTCTCTCCGAGATTTCCCTAAGGGTCCATGTACCCAAATACTGCATACGTTGGGCCCAAGGTACCTATATAGGGACTACTTTAAGGCCCATGTATATACTATATAGGCACATTGGACCCTTAGGATTTTGTACAGTTTTTGAAGGGGTGGCTAGATCGGCATGTTCGGGTCAAGGATGGTATTACCCTAAGGCCCCAAAGTAGTTCCTTTTTGGGGTTCGTATATATAATCCTATAAGGTAATCCCAAAAAGGAACTGCTTTGGGGCCTATGGGTAGACAGGAAGAGGAACCTCAACACTGCCTGGCCGAAGCAAAACCATCATGCAGCGGACATGCGAACAATCTGAACGAGCAGCTAAGGGCGTTCGACCACACATGTCTCCGAAAACCAAGCCGCAAATTTTAGACCCCGAGCATTGTTGCAGTCTCCTTGTCAAATATTCCGCAGAGATGACCAGGAGCCCAGAAAAGCACCAGAACGAAAAATGTCTTAATCCCTGGCTACTAGCTAGACTTCAATACGGTTGATGATGTAAAGTCTGCACTACCTCAAGGGCCCTAGACTATGGGAATAATGGTATATTCCTTATTATGGGTGACGCAGGATTTATATCATCAACCGTAGTTTATCTCTAGGTGGCCTCAATCCTGGATCTCCCTGAAACATAACCCTAAGGGTCCATGCACCCAAATAGCATATACTTTAGGCCCTAAAGTACCTATAGAGGGACTACTTTAAGGCCAGGGGTATATACTATTTGGGTACATGGACCCTTAGGGTAAACTTGCTTTTGCCATAAACTTAGGCCCAGCATCCGGCACAGGCTTGCCGAGAAAGTCGCAGAGTGGAGCCCAACCTAAGCATCGACTGCCCGTGCAGGGCCTTGGTAGGTATGCCTGCATATGTGCTTGTAAATATATGTGTTATATTTCATTATATGTATTCATATATGTTTCTATGTATTACAAAATCGGTATATACTATATTCGTAATGATACAACAAAACAATATAGAGCAACAACATAGCCTAAACTAATAAAGTGGGATAGAGCAGAATATAATAGAACAGAATAGAATAGATGACAACATAGAACCCACAACACAATACAAAAGAATAGAATGTATGTGTACATGTGTGTGTATATATGTATATATGTATGGGTTTGGCGTTTCGGTTAATATGGAGGCTGAGTAGCGCAACCCCAAACATGATGAACTTCTTCTCCTGGTAGGAATACATGAGCCCCAAGAAGCTCAAGGCCACCCCAGAGGGTCCAACGGTTGATGATATAAATCCTGCATTACCCATAAGAAGGAATATACCGTACTTCCCATAGCTTCGGGTCCTTAAGGTAATGCAGGATTTCTATCATCAACCGAAGTACTCCCTATTACAAACCTTTATTTAGGGCCTTTGTCGGTATCAAAAACCATAAATAAGGACTACTTGGACCCTTAGGGTACCTACTCAAGCCACTAAGATATCGAGCCCGAAGAGTAAGAGCAGCAACCTCGGTCCCACGAGTTGCTTAGCTTCGAGACCTGGGCAGAAGTAGTTTCCGAGCTTTCTCCAGATCCAAAAACCTTGTATTTGAAGCTATGAGCATACCGATGGCAAATTGCGAACCTGTCCTCACATCGAGCCAATGATCACGATGATCCCTAAACCACTGCAGCCAAGAAGCCATCGGATACATTGAAAATCAGGAGTTGCTCCTTCGGGATGACTCGCATCACCCTTTTCTCGTGGTTGAGGTAGCCGTTGATGCATCGTTGCCGCACTTCTGGCTTGTGTCTCAGCTCCTTGTCTGAAAATCGACATCCCCAGTAGTGTGCCGCCTCGCACATCCATCGCGGCTCATCCAAATCCCACCGTGAACTTGGCATTCCTTTGATGTTGTTTTAGGGTGACTTTAGAAGCTGCGAGATTCATACTATTTGGGCCTGAATGATTAGAAATGGGTTTTGGAGTGGAGTATACCAAAAATGATAATAAGGAACCCCCAAACTAGTATAGGTAGTTATTTAGGCCCCTAAAGTACCAGCATCCTTTTGGAGAGGTTGCGGTTTCCAGGGTCCCCGGTGATGTTCTGTGTGCTTGCCTGAACGTAGCTTGACATCTTCATGCCAACTTGCAAATGCCATTGTATGCCTTTCAATCATCGCTTTGTGGTATTCTCACATAACAATCACACAACCCCGAACACTGAAACTAAAGCCTCACAAACCCGAAGCGATCATTTGCGGCGGTAGCAGAACATTGATGATGCGCAGGTTCCAGCGAGTCCAGCAACGAGGCTTTATCTTCTACTACGATGACGGCTAAAGCAATGCATCCCTGAAGCCAAGAACCCTAAACCCGAAGAGCCTCCGGCACATTCTTAACCCCTAGATTCCTAGAGCCCCAGGAAACTTAAAGAACGCTTGTAAGCCATTGTGGAACCTTATAGAACCCTGAAGAAATCCGTACAGCCATTAACACATCGGTTCAGCGCACATTCAGGGTTGTTGCGGGGTAGGCCCTCCAACAGTAAAACGCTGAACCGTCCAACCCTATTTTGCCAAAAAACCCACACGATGAAAGCCCAATATCAAAGCCCAAAAAACAACCTGGATTCTAAAAGAAGCCATTAACGAATGCTCAAAAGTTAGGAAACCTACAAAAACCCAGACTAATTCTTAAGCTCCCAGTCAGGAAACCTTAGGTATAACTGCTAGAAAATGCTGAAATCATTTGGGAAACCGTGAAGAGGATGCCCTGGAAGCTGAGGGAAAAAGTGGCTGCGAGTCTGATGCAATCGACCTCGAAGCGCCGTCTGCCTTTTTGACGACTCCAAGAAAACCCAAAGGGTTTAGGGTTTCGGGTTTAAGGGTTAAGGGTCAGGGTTTGGGGTTTAGGGGTCAGAGTTTGGCATTAAGGGGTTGGGATTTAGGGTTTGGGGTTTGGGGGTTGGGGTTCGAGTTTTACAGAGCAAAACCAAGCTAATTCCTTGAAGGCATTCCTTTAAGGAATTTCCTCTAAGGGGCTTCTTTAGACGGGTTCCTTGGAGGGTTACCCCGAGTGGTTCCTTTAACAGGGCGTCTTGGGGTGTACTATAGTGCTTTCTAGGTAGTATGTAGGCTGGCCCCGGTGTTCCTGTATAGGAAGTGGTTTCTAGGTCTTAGCAGATGGTATCCTCCTTGGGTACATGCACCCTGCGCAAAGGCACTGGGGAGCTTCTTGTCTTAACATCATAGTAGGACAGGCCCTGAAGGTACCAATCAGAAAGCCCTCAAGGACCCCAAACAACACATACCTACAGTTACATTTATGTATATTATACATATGTACATACATTTATCCGTTCTTACAATTCTACATTCTTACATACTTACATATAGCATACAGTACGGTACCTTACCATACGATACCATACCATACCACACAATACAATGCATACATACATGCTTAGACAGAGCATCGATGGGGGCACTTGGACCCTTTGGGCAAAACGCAGCCACAAAAGCTTCCTACCCTACCTGCAGGGTAGGCCTGCAACTTCTTAATTATTTCTAGGATGTTTCGGGTTGCGTAGTTCAGAAGGCCGACCGACCCCTACCTCTTGTGTAATGAGCGTCCTTCTGTACTCTTTTGGCATCCCCAGGCCTGTTGATCCCGTGGTCATGGCCAGGATAGTACTTGCGACGATCGTAAATTGTCACGTTGTTGTTGACTCCGAAGGACTCGAAGAACTCTAGGTACTGATTGTACCAATCATCTGGGTGGCTTGTTGTGTACACGAACTTGGCGTTCGGCATAGCTTTCAAGACCTCGTCATATATCAAGTGGAAGGGCTCGTCCAAAGCTGCCTCCCATCCAGTCAGATTACCCATGGGCGGGGGGCCAGAGACTCCAGAAGCATTGCCAAACAGATAGTAACACCACGGCCACCGTAAGTCAGTAAAGTATCCACTCCAAAGCGTGTTCAGCTTCAAGATCTTAAAGGCCTCGTATGTGCTCTGAATCCCCGATCGCGGCGCCCCCACATCGAGAACGAACGCCAGACAGACATGACATAAGGCGGCCTGGAGCAGCAGTTGTCGGACCATAGAACGCAGCAAACTCTGTGCTGCAAACATGTAATATGCGTCCTAGGGGTTTGTAGGACGCACGAAACCAGAAGTGATCCCTAACAGCCCGGTTACCCCTATGCTCAACCTTAAACCCCAAACCTTAAACCAATATCACGGTAACCTACTGGGCTGCTAGGGGCTTCCTGAGCCGGAGCCAGAATAGCAAGGGAAGCTGCGTCAAGTTTAGGGTTCGAGGGTGTAGCAGTTTAGGGTTCAGAGTTTAATATATATATATATATATATATGTATATGCTTAGGCCTCAGAGGGGTTGCTATTTAGGCAGTTTGCACCCCAACTACATATTTTGTAGGTATGTTCGGGATAACTAAGGCAGGCTCGTGGTCGCAGTGCAGAACCCACGAATGCATCGGGCCCCGAGACCATAGACCATAGACCCAAAGAAGCAAGCAGGGTGGAGCAAACCTCCATTTCTGCAAGAGACGCAAAGGCCTGTATACGACTACCACGACTACTATCATCGCTATTGCTCTTGTTGCAGGCTGTATTGCTATGGCTCTTCTTACTACTATATACTATTTGCTTGTTCTCATGTCCATCCTTCTTCTTACCAGTATTGTTATTGTTTGAACTTTATTTCCATGAACATCTTTGTTGTTCTTAGTGTTATTCATCTTGCTTGCACTCGTTGAATCGCTACCCGCCTCCTAGAACGTGGGCAGCGAGCAAACTCTTGTCGGAGCCCCCGACAAAGCAGCCCATTATCCCTGCAACTGTAATAAGACTTGCACTTAACCATGTTTAGGCATGGTTCTGGATTCGATACGGGAAATTTCAGACAAATCAGGTTCCTAGTCTTTCTGGGCTTTAAGCTGTTTTGAGCTTTCACATAGGACCCAAGCTGCAAGCAAGCGAGCTCATTACTGAGTGTCCCACGCTGGCAAACAGGCCCGCAATACCTGCACGATGATCTTTGGATTATGATGACGGCAAATGGATCCTTTCGGGTGTACTTCTTCGATTTTTCTGCGCACCTTGCAAATCCTATCCAGATTTCCGAACAGCTTCCAGTTGAGGTGAACTGATGGAAACCGCAGGAAACCTGCTTCAAATCGCAAAAACCTTGGTACGTGAGCTAGGGAATTTAGATGGAGGGCTTCACGGCTGCAAGAGCTGAGTTTGGGGTGTTAGGTCTCAGTCGCAGTACAGTACAGGCAAACTCTTGCTGAGCCAATGCGTTCCCGAAGGAACGTCCGGATTCTCATGGACTGAGCACCCAAACAGTAGATACTTTGACTGTAAAACTTCCATCATACTTTCTGAAGCCCAAAGTACATGGATCCATAGCATCGTGAAATTACCTGCTTTTGGTACAAAAGTTGAAAGCAAAACCCTGAAGTCCCCGCTTACAACCTGCAACCCCGAGGTCTGAACCGCCGCGAAGGACCTGAGACCCTGAAGGCACATAGCCCTGAAGGCTGCAAAACCCTAAAGCCCTCAAACGTTGCCTTCTCAACATCCCATCCTTGCATCATACTTAGTCAACCCTGAACAGTCTCAGCTAGCCCTTATACACCCCTTATCTTTATCAAGCCCTGAAGCGACCCTAGAACCCTCGCGCACCCGGCATTGCAGCGTCGGCAGCGGAAAGCGGCCGGTGCGCCGCAGGCAACGCAGCTCTGGTTCAGAAGGGCAAGAATCTCGACCTGTAGGGCTTAGAGGGATAAGGATTTAGGGCATCTGGGGCCCAAGAAGCTCAGTACCTGTTTGGTTAGGATTCATACGTTAGCTTAGGAGAGCTTAAAATCATCACAGTAGTAGCAACACAGGAACCAAACATGTCGCTTTGCGGTGACCTATAGGATGTGTAAACAAGAAACAAACGTTAACCCTAAACATAATGCCCACCGCAAGATTGCTTTATAGCACCAAGTCACCCTGGGGCGATATGCAGAATGGTTCGTCTTTGGGCTGTAGCTCCGCACTTTTGGCATGAAAATGCTACAAATTGCAGTGACGGCAGTCGTCATTGAGAAGCCTTATAAATCCAAAACACTGAAACTTAGTATCAGTGAAGCCCTAGCGCATATCATCATCAACATCGCACGTGTCTAAGACTTACAGACCTTTGGGGCTTGGAAAGTTGGGTAGTAACTGATTCCATGGGACGATGATGTATCAGGAAAACGTAAGGAAGAGTGCTGCTATTCTTGATACCCACCAGGAAGTGGGCTGTCGGCTGTCGGGTTTGTTTAAGGCCTGAGTGGCCGCGTGGCTGCAGGCATTGGTGTTGTCTCCCAGTCTTGCCTGTTCCTGATTACTACACCGAGCAGTGATCCTGAATCCGAAACGCTGTGGTTATATACTCGTTTACCCTTAGGCTCTAAGGACTCACATTTTCAGGCTTGTGGGCCCAGAGGCCATACCATTCCAGGCTTTTGGGCTATGTTCAGCCTCGGGGGACCAGTTAAGTTTGACAGGTATCAGATTTTCAGGTTCAAGGTCCGAAGTCAAGGCTGTCCTATGCGCCAGGGGTCCATGTATCCACATAGTATACACTTTGGCTTTAAAGTCGTCCCTATATAGGTACTTTGGGGCCAAAGTATATACTATTTGAGCACATAGACCCTTAGGGTATGTACGACTGTTCCAGTTTGGCTTTCAAAGCGTATCCTCTTGAGAGGAGCTCGAGGTTCACGAGCAACGTCTGAGAGCACTCTCAGCTCTGCCGGTGGGTGAAACGATTCAACGAAGCTGCGCCTAATTAAGTCAGCCCTTCGACCTCGGAGGCCCTAAACCCTTAGCCCAAACAGTCTTTAGGCCAATTGAACCCTAAACCCTAAACCGGTAAAGCTTCTCCGCTCAAGTTCATGAGCTCCTCCTTGTGACCGCTCAATATGGGCTCGTAGACTTCCAACCTTTCGCTTCGTAAGATCCGGAACCCTGAAGACGTACATACATGCACATACATCTATAAAAATGAATATGTATATATATATATATATATATATATATATATCTATATATTACATGTATATATGTAGATTCTGTAGATATGTAGGTATGTATATGTATATGTATATGTACATGTATATGTGTATATCTATATACCTTAGACCCACAGAAACAGGAGGCTCAGCAGCAGCAGCAGCCGGGAGGACGCCTCAGCTGGGAGCTTGGAGATGTATAGAGTAATCTAGAACATCCGGTACCTACTTAGCTTGCACTTGGCCCTCATACCTATACAGAGAGGTGTCTAGGCTTTACGGTTTCTACGATTTAAAAGAGACGCCCGCATGAGACCCGAAGTATGTACTGCATAGCTTCATGTACCGTGGAGATAAGCTCATTGTAGCCATCTTCGCGCTCGACAAACAAACCCCTAAACCCTAAACCCCTAAACCCCTAAACCCTAAACTCCCTAAACCCCTAAACCCTAAATCCTAAAAACCCTAAACTCAACTCCCTGGACTGCCGGCCCTGGATCCCCAACCCAAAGAACCCAAACCCCATGCCGTAATTAATCAGTGCAAAGCTAAGGATTCTGGAGACCCGATTCCTATACTAGACCTAAGAGTAACCCAGGAATAGAAAGGGTGCCCTTTTTGGTCTAAGGTGGTTTATAAGGGAACCTCAACCCTAAGAAAAGGTAATAAGGGCCTACTCTGGGTCCTACGTAGTCAAGAAGAAAATCCAATGAGGAGCACAGGTTGACAGGCGACACCAAACTGTCGAAACTCTCTTCCACGCCCAGTGCTTGGTCTGGATTTTTCTTGTTGTTGAAGCATTTCCTGTGCCTTTGGGTTATGGCTTCCGAGACGATCCTCCCCGAGGGATCGCCTGCTCTTTCCTCTGACTTGCCACTGTTCAGAACAAAGACATCGTTTTTCATTTCAGACTAAGGAACCATGAAAGCCCGAAGGAGCACCGAAAGGCCTGTAGCAAACCATGCTAACCCTATACACTGGAAAGCTGGGCCGCTCATCTTGAATATTCGATTCCAAAACCGACACAGGGCCGATTGGAGGGAATCCTTGTAGGATCCCTTTACAGGAAACCTGAAGTTTCTTAAAGGAACTCTCATAGAGCCCATCAAAAGAAAGGAACCCTGAAAAGAGACCTTACCGGACCCACAAGGAACCTTTAAAACAACCCTTATAGGACCCCGTGAAGGAATCCTTCAAGGATCCCTTCTAGGACCCCTTAAAGGCATCCTTAAAGGAACCCTAGCAGGGCATAGGGTGGTGTT